ATGGGTCAAAATCCCGTACCTCCAGTGAACATCCCAATCCCCACTAAAATAGGTTCTAAGCTGGGTGGTGCACCTACCCCAAAATGGGATCCCATCGGTTTTGACAACCACGGCCATTTTGAATTGAATACCTCTCAGTTGAAGTTGGTAGACTTCGGCTGCGCAGCCAAAGCTGCCGGCACGAGGAAGCTCATGTTTTTTTTTTTGTGCACAGCTCCCTGGTTTCAGCTTCTGTGGAGCGCTGGCTGCGTTCTGTATGCTACTGTGGATGGACGAAATCCATTTCGCACCACCCAAGAAACCCCGGAATCATGCTTCCCCTGTAAATACCAGCAAGCAATGGTTTTTTCTGGTTTTCAAGCGGTGCGAAATGGATTGTGTCCATCCGCAGTTTTTTACGGCCGGAACACTGGCAAGTTTCTGGTGGCAGGCGCGCTCTCCCTTCTTTTGGCCCTCGTTTTGGGCCAGCCAATTTGTGGAAAGGCGATGTGTCGGTTGGCCTTCAAAACGGAACGCCGTGAGAAGGGGAGGTCAGCTTCAGAGACCTTGCAGCATCCAACAAAACAGGCGAACGAAGTTGAAGACTGTCCTTAAGGGAGGAAGGGGCGATCGAGTGGCTTGGAAACGATCAATTTAAAACCTCCCAGGTTTGAGCGGTTGTTTGACCTGAGTCGTTGGGATCTTTTGCTTGATGGGTTCCAGCCTCAAAACGGAAGCCCTCTTGCCCATGGTTTCGGTGCGTTTTGGTTTCTGGATTTCCATTTCTGTGCAGATTGCCCTCTTTGTCCTTCCACACGCCAAAGGTTACTGCTTCACTCGGCAACCCGTTTGTCAGGCATTTCAAGCCCCTTTTGGGGGAGGGGCACTTGAACCCCCCATTGGACATTGTGGCCGAACAAGCGGGCCACTGAAAGACATGCCTACATCCATGATGTTTCAGATTACAAACATCCGGCGCTTGTAGCTTTTGTTTGATGCATGGTGCGGTGGATGCTGAATACTGCAAGTCAACAACCCGCATTCGACCACAAACCATGCCAATTTACTTTGAATCAGGGGCTTCCCGGGTCTTCTTGCTTGCAATACATTACATCATCCACCGTACTACCTTTGTCTCCAAGCCATCCCTCGCCCATCGCTCGGGCAGCCGTCAGCAGTTGCGCTAGGAAGACGAGCCGCGGAGTCGCACGTCCCAAAGATGGGCGCGGCCCGGGCGGCGAGAGGAAGAGGAGATGCCGAGCCGCGCGCTCAATATGGCATGACTGGGGTGTGTCTTCTCTAGGAGTTGGACCCCCAACATGGTGGTGTTTTCCTTTGGTTTTGCTTTAGAAGACGGGCACACTCAACAGAAGACACAGCCATGTGCCCAACATCTTTTTGAGGTTGGTTCGCCTTAGGGGTCCAACATTGAACTCAGTCTGGCAGTGAAGCCCTTTGGCTCGGGTTGCCGTGCTTTCGACATGTCAAATGGCTTGCGCCGCGCAAGCTGACAGAGTTGGTGAGCCACGCGCAATATTCACCGGCAGAAAGAAACCAAGCTTAAGACACAGCTGTGAGGGACAACGCCATGGCCGAAAATCTGGCGGCACCTGGAGCCCACGCCAGAAGGGCCAACGCTTTTCATTGTGCCAAATTGCAATGCCCTCGCTCAATATTGCAAGTCACCACAAGCCCGCGGCAAGTGTTGTTCGTTCCTGTGCGACCATGGGCAAATTATCCTGCACCAGTTGGGATGGATGAAACGATGAACCCCCTTCACAAAAGCTTGGTGTTCGCCACATTCTGCAAGGGAACCAGGCTCAAACCCCTGTAACTTGTAACTCACCACAGCATCATACTGTGGATGGTTGCGAACTTCTGCACCACTTAAGAAAAACATTGGAAAAAACGATGTCCTGGTGAATACCAACAAACAAAGGTCTTGTGAATACCAACAAACGTGAAGGTTTCCATGGCTTCCAAGTGGTGAACAAACGTGGATGGTTTCCATGGCCTCCACGTGGCGCCAAAGGGATGTCGCAACCCTCCACAGGGATCCTTGCCGTTGCGGCTTCCTGGAGCCCAGGCGGCGACACGCCGGAGGAGCTCTGGGTGCTGCGTGCCCCGTTTTGCCACCGGGGGGGGGGGGGGAGAGGGGTGGGAGAGGGGGGGGGGTGGTTTTGGGGTGGCGCAGGCGGTTTGCAGTGGATTTGGGTCCATTGGCTGTTTTTTTTTTCCTTCTTTTGTTTCTTCTTTCTTTCTGTTTTTGTTCTTTTTCAAGGGGGCTTAAGCAAGTGCAAGACTTTGATCCAAATCGGCATGTGGTTTTGGATTTCTTGGTGAACTTCCAACCTGAATGTCGTTTTGGTTGAAAAGGTGCGCATTCTCCCACTAGCCAGCAGAAGGTTCAAGCCGACACCCACATAAGGACTGGGTACCAGAGCTTTGTCGTTTGTCGGACTTCAAGTCTGGAGTCGAGGGAAGCTTAACTAGCGCCGGCTCTCCAACACAGCCCGGAAATGCTGGCAATTGCTTGTCTGGCTCAGGTTTTCTGGAGGTGAGCGAGCAAAACTGTGATATGTTTTGATTGATGGGCCTGTTGAGCTTTCCCTTTGCCAGAGTCGCCAAAGTGACTAGACGTCCATTGGCGCCTCAGTGGGACAGTTATGCATTGAGTTTTTTACTTTGATTTTCCCAGGGAAATCCCTGGGTTTGAGTCTACCTTGGGACAGTCCAAAAATGAATCTGCCAAAGGCTGTGAACATTCTGGGACTGAACCATGGGATGAACGTTTGGACATGGCAACTGAGAATATCAACAAGTAGTCTGCTTGAAGTGTGGGAGGAGACAGGGGGCGAAAAAAAGCAATGGGCTCACGCAAGGTTCCCGAGTCCATCTGGGGAACAAAGAATATTGCCCCATCAAAAGCCCACAAGTGTAAGAATGCCTATATTCAACTGGACGTGCGTTGCCTGCAAAACCCACCTGTGTGTTTTGTCCCATTGAAAAGGTGCAACACTGAGGAGTCGCCCTCTTTGCCCCCAGGCAGGAGGGTCAATGGGGCACTTGCGGGGAAAAACACCTCAAACAAGCAGACACAATTCCTCAAGAAACAAGAACGGCAGGAGTGGCAGGAGGGTCAATAGAGGACTTGCAGGGAAAGACACGTCTCTCCTTTTTTTGGGATTACAAAAGTACCCTCTGGCGTTCTCCTTCTTTTCGAGAATAAAAGTTCTCGAGCAAGAGACTTTTGAAACCCACCGGCGTCAGAGTTGCCCAGACGATTTCGAGTCCGCCAGGTGGAGGTATCTCCGGGCCGCAACGTGCCGCTTGGCAGTTCGACAGGGCCAGGAAAGGGGGGTGCGGCCGGAAGGGGGGGGGGGCGGGGGAAGTATTTGGGTGCGTTCTTTTAAGGCTCGTTGCCCTTTCTCTTGGCTTGGTTTTCTCGGGAAACCAAACGGAAGACCACGGTTTCGCCCTCTCCGCCCCCCAATCTAGACATGTTCCCCCCCTTTTGTGCCTTGCACCTTGCTGCCTTCGGTGGTTCAGGGGGGTGCGGTTCAAACTGTCAGGTGGGCGCAGCTAGCTTCGGGGCCATCCAAGAGTCCGGTCAGATTTCTCCGTTTGGAGAGGTCGACCGTTCAGGCACTGCTTCGGTATTTGTTTGGTGAGGGTCCTGTTTGGCTCAATTCCCTCAGGCAACCTCGAGTTGCCGGGTTTGGACTTGCTGCAGGTTCGAGCCCTTGGTTGACAGTATGAATCAACCGGGAAGAGGCGTCTAAAACTTCCCCTCACGCTGACGCTTTTTCCGTTGACCCACCGCTTGCGACACGAACCGGCCCCGAAACCGAGGCGCCCGAAAACACCCCTTTCACTCCTGAACCTTTGGCACCGGAAAAAAAAAAAAACGGAGCCCACCAGATGGGCGCCATGTCTTCTTGAGGAAGGCCAAGCCGAAAGGAAGGCTTTTGCGCTGAGGCTGTGGGCTTCCTTGGGGGGCTCCTATGCCAGGCCGGGAGTCATTTCCACAAAGGATCTCTCAGATTTCTGGGGGTGGATGGGTGGATCCTGGGGTGGCACCGTGGAGAACGCGGAGGTCTTCGAAGCAACTTTTGAGGCTTGAGGAAAAACAAACATGAGAAGGCAGAGAGGCATCTAGTTGTTGGCATTGTCAGATCTGCAGCTTGCTTGCCCTGATTTCTGGGGCTCTTGCAGCTGCTATGCAGTTTTCGCCACAAATGTTGGGTTACAAGCCCCTGCGACAATTCATTGGAGGGTTTGCTCCCAAGACAAAGAACGGTAGACGCCATGCGATGTCAACCAGTCGAAACCAGGGATGGGCAAGTTGGGGAGAAAGAGAGGCAGGTTGTATGGCGATTGAGTTGTTTTTAGACCATAGTGCTTCATTGCTCTGTTGAAACAAGTGCCAACCACCAGGAGGAAACCGATCTGAAGGGACATTTGTGAGATGGGTTTCTTGCATCTGGTTGAATCGCTTTGAGATCGGGAGGAACCTGATCTGAAGGGACATTTGTGGGATGGATGTGTTGCTTTGAGTCTTGGGCTTTGAGCTCCTCTCGACTCCGACAATTCAGCATCTGTCTGTCGAGCTCGGGGACCTCGCGCGATCTCGCGCCGGCCAGCCGGAGCACAGCGCCAAGTTGGCGTAGGCAGACGAGGCATTGCCATCTCACCACTCTGCACATGGCTCGAGTGTCACATTCAGCCTCTCTTTCTTTTAAGAAAGGGATTCAGAAAGGGGCCGGCGAGACATGGGGGAAAAAAAGAGAATCCACCGAGGCAGGGTTCCCAGCAAATCGCTGTTCGTGTGTTGCTTTTCTGGGCGCGCCCAAAAGGGGAATCCGACTGTTTAATCAAAACAAAGCATGGCGATGGCCTCAGAAGGTGTTGGCGCAATGTGATTTCTGCCCAGCGCTCTGAATGTCAAAGTGATGAAATTCAAAGAAGCGCCTGTCAACGGCGGGAGTAACTATGACTCTCTTAAGGCAGCCAAATGCCATAAAAGGAAACGCCACAAACAGCGGCGGCCATGGACGAGGGCAGCCACTACGCGGTGCTGGGGCTGGCAGTGGATGCCTCCCCGGAAGAGGTGAGGAAGGCGCACAAGAAGCTGGCGCTGAAATGGCATCCCGACAAGGCGGGGGAAGAGAAGGTCTCCGCTTTCTTTATTCCTTAGGGGGGGGAGTTAGTTAGAGCTTTTTGTTTTGGGGGGGGAGGGAGGAGTATTATTTTTTGGAGTGGATGGCAGTTGTTGGAGGAGTCTTTTTTTTGTTTGAGGGGAGGGAGGCGTAATATTTTTTGAAGGTTCACGGGGTGTTTTGTTGGTTGGGGGTGCGTATCGGTTGCGTGGGAGTGATTACTATTGCTGAGGAAAGTGTGTATCATCAAGCTAACTCCGCTAAACTCGATGTAGGAAATTCGCCCAGTCGTTGACGAGTCAGCAAGATTGCGCCCAAAAGAAAGTCAACCAACGAATTGGTAGCTTTCCTCGTATTTTCTCTGCCTGCACCGTCAACACACAACTTTTGCACAAAGTACATACACTTATGTTTTGCCAAATGAGTCGTCGAGCGTAGCCAACTTTTCCCTTTTGACCCTCTTCCCCTTTACCATCTTTCACCAGGTCGGGTTTCGGGCGAAGAGCGGCAGGTTTTGGCTCCGGACGAGATCGCCCTGCGGGTGGCCACCCAGCAGTTCCAGCTCGTGCAGGCCGCCTATGAGGCAGGGCCCCCGAATTGGCAGGTTGGCACCTGGCTGCCAGAAAGGTCCATAAAACAATAGACATCTTTGGAATGCGAGTAGAACCAGAAGTCGCTAGGTTTTGCGCACACAGTTGTGTGTTACGATTGGCATTTTCCAAACGTCATGAGCATCTGCAAGGTTTGTGCATTCGACACCCCAAGAAGCACATTTGCAAGCTGAGCTGCTAACCGTTGTCAGAAAGCAAACACATGTGACATAATCGGAAACGTATTATCAGGGCACTTGCCATCAGGGCTCTTGCCATCAGTCCCAACTCTAAATCAATTGCTTGAAGCTAGCACTGGGTCGGAAGTGGCCTATCCTTGTCTACAACTTCATTATCAGGCTTACATTGCAGTCATCTTGTGGAAAACAATGGCAACTACCATCTAGAAACAACATTCATCTTTGTTGATTGGGCGAAGCCAGGCTCTCTTCCATGGTATGACGCGATTGGACTTTGTGATTCCAAGAATCAGTCGGAGCTGTGAAACGAGGCTTGAAAATGGGTAGGTATTTAAGGTAGGTAGGTTAAACTCCTTTTCGGAGGAACCGTGCAACCATTGTACGAGTCAAGAAAGAAGCAAAGCAAGCTTTACGGCCGCATCAAAAAGCCCTGGCAAGTATTTGATACCCCAAAAGTTGGTGCTGCCGACCAAAGCTTGGCCCCAACTAAAACTGACACCCATCTCAAGCCCGATTGTTTTGCCCGAAGGGCCCATTTGTTCTGGGCAAAACATAAAAAGGGACCTGTTTGATGATGGTGCTTGGCTTGGGGATTCCAAGTTTCCAATTTTGTGAATCACCATTTGTGCGGGATGGTGTTAGCAGTTGCTGTGGAACCAAAAAATGCCTTGAATTGGGTGTGCCTGTTTTTGAGGTACTCCTTTTTCGCTGGTTTGAAAGGGACACTAAAAGGAACACTGTCGCGCCATTATTATTATTATTATTATTATTATTATTATTATTATTATTATTATTATTATTATTAGCAATATTAACATTGTTATTATTATCATTATCATTACTACATTTGTTTTTCTATGTGTGTTGGGGGGTCCAAGTTTTACAAACAAACACACACACACACACACAGAGCCACCAGCTTCAGAGGTCCTCTCCGACGAGCGCCAGCGCCGGCGCTACGACGAGACCTTGGGCCTCGAGCGCCGGAAGGCGGCGAAGTCCGACGGGGGCGCCGCGGCCAGCTGGGCCCAGAGCGATGCGGTGTGCTTGAAGGAGGGGCCTGGGGCCCGGGGGGGAGGGGGGGGTGTGGAGGGGAGCGAACATGAAATTTCTGGGAACTTTGCAGCCACCAAGTTTGATGTTTGCAGGTGTGAAGGGTTTCCATGGGAATTTTTCAGCCATGACCTTCTTTTGATACTTGCAGGGGAATTGAAACATTCCGATTGGGTTTCTTGGGTGGTGCAAAGTTTCGGCCATCCACAGTATGGTTGTCCTGGGCCGACTTAAAGGGTTCGGGTACGGCAGGTAAGTGAGTAACCATGGTGTGAGCCCACTTAAGTGTCCTAAGTGGATAACCAGGCTTACTAACCACTTGCTGGGTACCCGGTACCCTGCCCCTTGAAGTAGGGGCCTCGTAATAAGCCCTAGGGCCGAATCGTGTTCTTTTTGGCTGACACGGGTTTGCCTCAAAATAGGGAAGCCTTTTTTGTTGTCAATTCGCATTCCCCTTGAAAACACCTCTCCTAAAAAGGGTACCATCAAACACAGGCATGCCCATACTAGTTTGCAACCACCTCCTTTAGGAGGGAGGTATGATTCATTTGTGGTCTATTTGGCAACCACGTTTTTTGGGGTATTCTTTAAGAAAGTGTAAAGAGTCTTGCTCGAAATGTACATTCTAGGTGTCTATGGCAGTGGGCGGGAAAGGGGAGGGGCATATTGTGGCTCTTTGTCTGTTTTGTTTGATTTGGCGGTCAATTGATATGTTCTTATTGTTGCCACGCAGAAAAGAACACCCTATGGGGTTACATCTGTGTCTGTTGTTCTTTAGGCAACCCCCGCAAAATGATGGTTTTCCTTTGGTTTCCCTTTAAACCAACCCCAAAAAAGGTTCCCTCGAAAACTCAAACAAGAGGGCCGATTTTCCAAAAGAACCAGCTGGACACCCGGCATTACTCCCTCCCTCGCGCCTCAAGCGCTCCTGCCAGAGGTGCCGGCGGAGGTGGCGACCATTGCTGCGGCGGTGGACCGGTTGTCGGCCAAGGGGGGCCTCATCTCTGTGGCTAAGGGCACCTACGAGGCGCGCGTGTGGTGGGGTGAGGTGGGGTGGTGGTGAAGGGGGGCGGTGGGTGCGTGACGTTGGGGCGATGTGCACTTGGAGTTTCGAATTTGCAGCACCAAGCAACAAAGAAATACAAGGCTTTTTGAAGAAGGGGGGTGGGCGCAGCGGGGGGTCAAACTTGCAAGGGACGGAAGTTGTTTCATTTCACACCTGGTTCTGGGCTCCTTTGACCCCCAGTTTTTGGATGGCGTCCTTACAGCATTACCATCAATCACTTTTGCGGGCCACCCTCCGTTTCACACTGACCTCTCCAGTGCGGCCACGAAGGTGGCCGAGTTCTTCAACCTACTTTTCTGGATTCGATATATGTCCCTTGAAGCCATTTAGCCCCTTCAGCCACGTGGGTTTTCCCTTCACCCCCTCAAAGACGGAGCCGCCTTCCTATCTGCCCGAGTCAGGGCCTGGTGGTGGTGTCGAAGCCCTTCGTGCGTCTCGTTGGGGAGGTGGGGGCCGTGCTCCGCGGCCAGGCCGAGAAGGGTGCAGCGCATGTGGCGGGGGGTGAGTTTGGAAAAATCCAGGGGATCTTTCGAAGTGTTGCCGGCCAGGATTGTTTGAACGAGGGGTATGAGTCGAAATTCACCCACCAGGTGGGGTTTTGGGCTGCGTTTCGAAGAATCCCAGGATCTTTCGAATTGTTGCTGGCCAAGTAGGCTGGCAGATTATGACTTGGGTATGAGTCAAATTCAATCACCAGGGGACCGCAGGATGCAGTCTCTGTTTCCGAATGCCAGGGTTCCATCTAGGGGGGAAAAGCAGAGGTCAAAACAGCGGTTTTCCGCTTGGGTGAGGTAGCGACGGCTTTGGTTCGTTTCTGCAGGAACCACAAGAGGATGGTATTTTGTTTGATTCCTTTCCAGAGCTGTTTTCCACCCAGGTTGGGGTAGCTTTGTAGTAGTTTGTTGGAAGAGGAATTGCCTTTAGACAATTGGGGATGCCTTTCGTTTCCTCACTTTGCGGCAACAGTTTTTTGGAGTTTGCCGCCGAATTCAGCCACAGCTCCCTTACCCCCCGATGCGATGCGACCCAGCGGCCAGGTGGTCTTCCGTGAGTGCGCCACTGGGGCGCGGCTGCAGAACTTCCAAGTCCTGGCCCAGTGCAGCGGAGGGGCGGTGGATCTGAAGGGCGTCAAGGCCAGTGCCATTTGTACCCCCCCGGTGGTCCCTCGCGCGGTTTTTTGCGGTGCTTTTCGGTTTTTTGTTTGTCTTGCGCAAGAGAGTCGCTCTTCCGAAAATTGGGTTGGCAGCCGTTTTCACCTGCTTGCAGCCGGGCGCGCGTGCATGCTCCAAACTGCTGTCAGAAGTGGCAAAGCCTGGCGTGGTCAAAGGTCTTCACGCCTCAAACTGCAAATGATCCAGCGGGGCAATGCAGTTGCAAGAAGCAGACGCGCTGACCCTGTCTTCTTCATTTTGGCCCATGTTTTGTTCACACCATTTTGGACAAATCTATGGCTATCAATTTTTTGAGGTCTTGCAAAAGCCCTAGAGCTGGTCCTAGACACGGGTGTCCTTTTATAGGCGCCCCCCAAAATAGTGGTTTTCCTTTCGGTTTCCTCAAGAAACGGGCTCAGACGAAGAAGGCTAGAGGACCCTGACAGCTGGGTCGAAGATCCTGCGTTTGGGATTTCGGCCCAGGTTCCAGGCAGGTTCCGGGATTGGGCTTATCATGCGTTGTTTGTTTGTTTGTTTGTTTGTTTGTTTGTTTGTTTGCTTGCTTGCTTGCTTGCTTGTTGGTTGGTTGGTTGGTTGGTTGGTTGGTTGGTTGGTTGGTTGGTTGGTTTGGGGTGGTTCATTGTGCCTTGGTCTATTTGTTTGTGTGTGTGTGTGTGTGTGTGGGTGTGTGTGTGTGCTTGTTTTTGTGTTTGTGCAGTTTCTTTCGGCGAGTGGTAATTAGCGGTGCATGCAGCTTCCCGACGTCAGGGCGACGTGGAGATCGAGGGCTGCGAGATCAGCAACGAATCCTCCGCGGGTTTGGTGCTCGCAGCTTCGGCTGTGACGATTGGGAGAGAAGAGCTCTGGGTTTCCCATGGATGTCCAAGCAACGTCAGGCAAGTAGGTTATACCCATGGTTGTAACTTAGGCAACTGGGGTTGGTCCCATAAGAGTCATGAGTCATGAGTTTATAAACTACTTACTAAGTTGGTTGAACTTCCAAGTAAATCTCGAAGGGTGGCGTTTGGGGAGTGAGGGTCATGGTGCTCTCTTCCAAGAACCATGCAAGTGGACTTTTTGGGGCGTTTCCAAAAGGAGAGTAGTCGCGCAACACCCTTCTGTTGGCTTCCATGATTGTTGGAGGGGGGGTATCTCGAGTCCTTAAGGCTTATTAGGGGCTTATCCTTGGCTTGGCTTATCTGAAGGTCTGCGATTTTCGGTCGGGGGGACCAGCCCGAAGGCAACAGAAGGCTTCGCTTGCAAAAGTCGAAAGGTCATGCTGCCAGTTTCCCTGAACCAGGATCTTTTGGGGAAACACCCTGAACCAGGATGGCGGATGTCAGGTTCAAATGGCCCAGGGAATTGTTGCAAGCGCATACACGCGTTCTGCCGCAAAGGCTACGTGGGTCAGTCACTGGCGATTTCACTATTTTTAACACAATCAGATTGACTTGACAGTCTCCCAGTCGATTTCTTCCAGCGGTTCGCAAAATGGATCGTGTCTCCAAACACGTTGTTTTGGGGTGATTTGCATTTTGAGATTCCTACCCGGCCGTTCATCGTTTCGACTTGGGCCAAACAGGGCGCTGAGTTGGCTCTCTGGATAAGGAACACGCAGGAGCGGTTGGCATCAACCCATTGGCGTAAAGCATGCTCACCAGGTCCTTTACTCGCTTTTTCTTCTTCCCCTTTTGCTGATGGCAACCGCTTCAAGCCAGGCCTGGGTAAGTAGCTTTGCTTGGCTTCTCCATCCTAGGCCTCCCACGAATCGCGGTTTCGGCCCACAGCGCAAGATGTTCGGTTTCCAGACCGCAGAAGAAAGAAAAATAGCATATAAACAGCTCTGGGCCGTGTTTCTTTCTTTTCGCCGTGGGTGAACCCCCCGCAAACACGGGCGGGGCATCCACCGAAACACCGCTTCGCCTCCTCGCTCGGCTGAGCTGCGAGTCGCGAGGGGAGCGATGGATTCCGAAGTCAGGAGGCCTGCTGGGGCCAGGTGGCGGTGAAGAGCTGCCGCATCGCGCAGTGCAAGTTCGACGGGGCGCGCCTTCGGAGAGTCGGCCGTCGGGAGTGGCTTGGTGGGGGGGAGAGAAGCAGACCAAAGGCGCAAGGAGGCGATCGATTTCGCGGACTTTTGCTTGATTTAGAGTGGTGGTTTGGTTTGGTTTCCCACTCCTTAACTTGCTTCCCCATTTTTCTCAGCTGTCAGTCCGGGTTTGTGGCTTCGTGGTTTTCCGTTTCGCAGAGTCTTGGAAAGGGACAATGGTTGACATAGGTCTTTGCTGCTTTCGTCAGATGATGGATAGATGAATCCAGGGACAACCGTCTTTTCCTTCTAAGCCTGGTTTCCATTTCGCTATCTGCCAGGTATGGAGGCTTATATACCACCAATACGAGCTGGTAAGGCAGTATACCGATATACCCCTTAAAACGGTGGTATATAACCTCCATACCTCAGACACCCCTACCACGTGTTTTGCAGGGACGTCGGAATTGTGCAGGTTGGGCTGCACCAACTGGACGCTGCAAAAATCGGAGCCATGGCGAGCGGAGGATGCCGGCTGACCTTGGAGCAGTGTGAGGTGGGTTGGGAAGGGGAGGGGAGGCGGGAGAAGCAGGGGGGTGGTGGGTGGTAGCTGGGTGGTGTTGGTGACTGGGTGGTGGGTGGTGGGCGGGGGCGGGTGGTGGGTGGGTGGGTGGGGGTGGGCGGTGGGTGGGGGTGGGCGGTGGGTGGGTTCAAGGAAAACCCATGAAGAAGGGGCTCTTGCCAGACCTGCCTATTTTGTGGGGGGAGGGTTGTCGCCGTGAAAGTTGTCATCAGCTCACCAGTGGATAAATTGATCTCAGGCATGATGAAGGTTCTTTGCGAAGGGGTTCCTTATCTTCACTTGGTGAATTATTCTTAGCATGGTTGGCAGACGCGGATGGTTTATCTAGCGCGAAGGAAGAAGCAGAATAAGAAGAATACTATTAATAGGAAGAAGAAACATAAAAAGGACAAGAAGAAGAAGGAGGAGGAGAAGAAGACGAAGAAGACAAAGAAGAAGAAGAAGCAGAAGAAGAAGAAGAAGAAGAAGAAGAAGAAGAAGAAGAAGAAGAAGAAGAAGAAGAAGAAGAAGAAGGAGAACACATGTTGAACTTGCCCAGTTGATTGCAATAACAGAACAGGGAAGCCCTTACTTGGTGGTTTGGGTGGGAGAAGGGCCAATGCAAGCTTTCAGAGCTCATCCCTTCACAACACATCCTCTTCTTCCATTTAACAAGCTTTGGTTTGGTAGGTGCCTTCGTGGGGTTCTCCCGTTTTTTGGAGAACCTAGAACCTTCAAACGACTTCATCGGCATGTCCCCCCATGAGACGCGCCGCCCCCGTTTGCTGTTTGCTGATGTTGTTCCGCCAGGCAGCACCCTCGTCGTGTTTTTTTTTTGTGCGAAATCACATTATTTGTGTTGTTCGGATTCCCTCCTTTTAGACTCTCCACCAAGCAACGGACCGAGCGACTGTTTTGGACCTGCCAGGGGCCGGACGGAACCAAGCCTTGCCCGACGGCCTGGAATCTGTCGTTTGGTATTCTTGCCGGGGGCCGGAAAAGACAACAACAAGAACATACGTCAGGCTCTCGAGGAAGTTTTCGGCCCAGGGCGAGACTCCACTGCATGGCTTAGATTTTTCTCCTCCCACCTTCCGTTCAGGTGGAAGGCAACGGCTACGATGGCCTCTACCTGGGGGACCCCCGATATGTGGTGGAGCTGCGCCAGTGCAAGGCCGGCCCTTGGCCCAGCAACACACCGCCCCTATTTTTTTCCGACCCCCCCAACAAAATGTATATATATATATACAAACAAAACACAACAAGAAAGGAGGCGAGAGTTCCCCATCGGCCTCTTCCTGACTGACCTTGTGTGCGACTCTTTTCAACTCTGACCAAGATCGTTCTCACTCGACACCTTTGCTCCAGGGTTCTCAGAGTCCGGTTGCTTCAAGCAGCTTTCCAGGGATGGCCATGAAAAAGCCAGCGCCGCCAGCCTTAGGGTCACAAAACGCGCCAGGGGGATGGTTTTTGCGGGAATCGATGGACACCAGCTGGCGAATTCCAACTGGTGCGCGAAGTGCATTTCCGTCCCATCCGTGTGGAGGCTTCTTGAAATGAGCCTGCAAGTCGAATTTCTTTTCGCAGCCCAACTGGATTTCGCGGGTTTCGGCGGATCTCGTCCCGTGAAATACGTTGGAGGCTCCTTCCGCAACGCGGAAGGACTCTGGTTTCCGCGCTTTGCAGGTGCTGCGGAACCAGCGGCACGGGGTCATGGTCCGAGGCTCCCAGTTCTCCATGGAGGAGAGCCAGGCGTGGGCTTTAGGACGCGCTCTAAGCTTAGGGATTCCAAGGACTGTATCGGTTGGATATCCAAGAAACACCACATGTTAGCTTCACATCCATAGCATCCATGACTAGAAACGTCCATTTGGGGGTTCCTGGTTTCTTCCGGTTGGATATCCAAGGAATCGACATGGTAATTTTAACATCCAAGGTGACAAGCAACCACCAACATGTCGGGAAGAGGAACATTTGCCCAGATCCCGAGTGAGGATGGCTGCGAGCTCCATTTCGCACCACGAACTGAATCCATGGGCATGATCATTCCAGAACCTTTTGCCGAGATCCACCTCGGGGAATCGAAAAGCGTTCCATGGGATGTTCTTGGCTGGCGCGTGGCATGGGATTTCGCCTCTCGGACTCAGAGAGGTGGAGGAGAACGGCGGCGAGGCGGTGCGCTGGGAAGGCTTCGTAGAGAAGACCAACCCCCGAGGCGGGGCGCCAGCGCCAGCGCCATGGGCATGGTGAAACAGGAGGTTCATGGTAGGGGTTTGCGTCCTTTGTGTTTTTTGGGGACCCTACGAGGTGGGTGGTTTTCCTTTCGTTTCCCTTGAACAAAAACCTGCGAGGAAAAGTGCACCCTGCAACAAAGAGCCACACCCAGTTGGGTTCCTGTCAATAGGGCACCAAAAAAGACATACCCTATGTCCGTGGATGTCTGAAACATCTTTTTTGGGCTCTGGCAAAGGGAACCAAAGGACACCGTTGCCATGTTTGGGGGTCTAAATCCGAAAAAAGGGCATCCCCAAAATGAGGAATCGAGCTTCTCCAACTGGTCAGTGTTCTTTTGGTCTCCCTTCGTTTCAAAACGTCGGGAGTTGTTCCAGAAGGGAATGTCCCAAGAGGAGTTTGATCCCTCCCTCTTTGCGTACCTGAAAGAATCACCCAACATGGGGTCTCCCATTTCGAGACATATGTGGGACCCAAAGTTTCCTGACTGTGATAGTGGGGTCTCTGAAAAGGGCAGAGGTGTCAAGCCGCTTCCGGCCCTGGGTTTTGGTCAGGGCCACCTCTGAGTCGATGGGCTCTTGCGAGCGACCTGAAGACCCCACTGTTGAGCACTCCGCCTGCGAATTTTAGGGCTGGGGATGTCATTCAACAGCACATTTTGGGCTTAGCAGATTTTGATCAGCCGGAGCCATCCTCTTTAGGATTCGGCGTTTAACGGGGGTGAGGCCCCAACCAATGACTCAAACACAACGCCTTCAGGATTCCATTTTCAGCTCACACCTTCATACCACATCCTAAAAGCCATGCAACAATCTGCCCCACGTGTTGCCCAGTCCACTACACCCGTCCCCCCGCAAAAAAAATGAAGAACAAGAACAAAAACTCCCCAAAAACAAAATCCTTCCGCTCAAGCCCTCCGCTCAAGCCCTCCGCTCAAGCCCTCCGAGGCACGGTGCGGGCGGGCAAGGCGCGGGAGGTGGTCGGAGCTTCGCTGCCCGAGGGCTGGCGGGCCTTCAAGAACTCCGAGGGTCTGACGCCGCTCGCCTCTCAACGTGGAGTCAGGGAGGGGAGGCCGAGGGGTGGAGGGGTAAAGGGCAGCGTCCGCGGTGCCTTTTTTTTTTTAGAGGCCGACGAGGATAGCCCTGCAGAAGGAGTTTCCAGAAAAACTATGCCCGTCGACCAATTTTCCACCTTGGGACCTGGGCAGGCCGAGTTTCCGTTTTTCCTCGCCTGCTGAAAAGGTTCGTAGCTCAGTTGGATCCTGTCGTTCATTTGTGCAGAGTACAGTTCTCGTGCAGGGAGTGCTTTTTGTCGTTTTCGTTGCCTGCTTTCTTACCATTCCTTGTTTCTTGCAATTAGTAAAACAAGCAACACTATTTCTGTGACGTTGATTTGAATCCTCAACGCGATGTGATTGTACGAGGTGTTCTGCACATGTACTAAGGATGTTCGAGGCTTTTGTTGCTCACTGCCCTGCTCCAGCTTTTTTCTCATGAAAACCGCGGGGCATGAAGAATCTGGAGGCCACAATGGACTGGGTAATCAGCAAGCCGCAAGGGACTCTGTGGACAGCAAGTGGCACGAAGAAGCAACCGCGGTTGTCCTGCTTGCCAGCTTTTAACATATAAGAGTCCTTGACATTCGCGTTTGGGCCATTTGATTGGGGCTAGGTGTGGTTTCGTGTTTCGTGGGTTGGATATGGCTGATACTTTTTTCACTGGGCTTCCTAACTTGAGAGCCGCGAAGTGCGCCAGTTGAGCTTCCCATCCCTTCCAACAGTGCGAGATAACTTTGAGCAGTTTCGGAGAGGATCATCAACAAACTCCTCTGCAGACTAAAGGGCCGGGAACCCGACAAAAAACAACCATTTCTTTTTGAACTGGGCCTTTTCTTGGGTTCCTTGACGTTTTACCATTGCAGAGGGCCCAGGTCTCGCGTTCGGGGAAGCCCAACATGCAAGTTGGGAAAACAGCGTTGGCACCTTTGGCACCAAAGTTGAAGCACCTGACACCTTTGGCACCAAAGTTGCAGCATAGGTACTACTACCACCTGCAGACGGGCACCACCAGATGGTCCGTGCCGGGAGAAGAGGGTCCGGAGGCTGAAGTGGCGCCTGCGCCTGCAGCGCTGACTGAGGGCAAGAAGCGCAACAGATGGAGCTAGGCGCGGGTGATTCGGTTGGCTGCAACCAATCGCGTCCTGCAAAAGCCTGGTAAGTTGGGGTAAATGGGATGATTTCCAACTTGTTCTCCCCTACTTGCAACCTTTGGGGAACCCTCCATCGGGAATATATAGGCAAAACTGGGAGCCGTGTATATGGCCTTCGGTCCGGTTGGTCCGGTGGGTCTGCTTGGTGGGTTGGTGGGTTGGTGGGTCGGTCTGTCGGTCGGCTGCCAGGTTCCCGATAAAGACCCTGTCCTCCTGTCCTCACTTGGAGCTGTGGTCAGATTTCCCGCCTCACCCAAAGACAGACAAGTGGCGGCTCGAGGGCGAGTGCCAGCATTTCACAGCTTATTCTTTGAGTTGATTTGGGTTTTTGGTGCTTGGCGCCCACACATCGATGAGACATGCGGCAGCGTGCACACGACCAATGTCACTTGAGTGACTTGTACAGCCAGTGCAAGCTTTCGTACCAGAAGAAGCCTATGCCAAGCAAGTTAGTAACCAACCGATGGTTTTTGAAATCATGAACAAATCATCCAGTTCACTCGTTGGACTAAGCCAAGTGCCTCCAAGCTTCGCTTGCCAGAAATTCCGCCCAGGCCGCGCCCTGCTCACTCCACGCCGACTTCAGTGCGACCTGGCGATCGAACTCAGCGCGCGGGCAGAGCGAGACCTTCGAAGGACCAGCTGAGACGCCCGGTGCGCGCCGCGAGCGGACGCCGAGCAGATCGCCGCGAGCCGCGAGCCGACGGACCCGAGCCGGAGGCAAGCCCAACCGCGGCCAGCCAAAAAGCTGGGGGCGAAAAAGCAGCAGCTGCTCGCAGAAAGCTCGAGATACGGTTTGGACACAGGTTCGGTTTGGAGTCTTCTTTTGTGTTGAAGACGGGGAAATTGTCTCTAAGAACACATTCAACGACCTCGAGTGCCCGAGGCTGCCAAAGGACTTCAATGAGCGGCCGGCCGGGAGCCTATGGTGCGGTAGGGCGATTTCCAGGATTTCAGCCGGGTTCCTTGGGTCCGACATGAAGCCAGGGAGTCGATGTCAACTTGTTGGGTTTTTGTGGCGCCCATATGCTCATCACTTCACTGGGCAATTGGGCTCGTTTGTTTTCCCCTTCAATTTCGGCATCTTTCAATTTTGAGACATACCCAATTCTGTTCAGGGCCCTGTGAGGGAGCCTTGAATCGATGACTGGGCCTTGGGAGCTTGGGAATTTCAGTTTGCTTTGGAGCCTCCTGACTAGTTGTCGCGATTGCCACCTTGTTGAGTCTGCTTTTTTTTCCTTTTTCTTTCGCACCTGCAGCCTTTGAGTCTTTCTTGGCTTTCTTGACCATGTCTTACCCGATGGACGAAAACACATTGCAAGGAGAAAGCGCTTTGAGCGAACCCGGATGGACAACCCACACGACTTTGGCCACGCAGCGAACTCGCAGCCAGCCACCGTTCTGCAGGCCTTTGTGCGGTCGGGGGACCGCGAGCTCTTTATCTTCTGGAGCCAGCAGCGCTGGCGCTTGGTGATGTCGGGGGAATGGCATGAATCGCGGGGCTCTTTGGTGTTTAGGGGACCCCAACTGAGTTTGAACGTTTCAAGTTGATACTTGCACTTGTGTGTTTTTTGTTGTCCGCATGTCGTCGTGTGCTCCCATGCAGCCTCTGCCCCGCAGCGCACAACCACGGAACCCTCAAACAGCAGTTTTGCAAGGTGTGTTAAGATTCCTTTGTGTCGGAATCGGCAGTGGCTGCAAGTTGCAATCTGTCGGAATCGGCTGCAAGTTTTTATGACTGGCTTTCCATATTCAAGACTTGAGTCAGCCTTGCAAGAAGCAATTGAATAGTAGATGAAACCTTTATGCATCTTTTGAACATGGGTGTGTGTGTGTGTGTGTTAAAATAGGGGGGTTCCCTTGAAAACCACCCAACGTCATGCAACCTGCCCCCCTCAGCGTGCGAAGGTTTGGGGACTGGAAGATCGCGGACCGCCTGCAGGACGATGGCGCGTGCGGGGAGCTTGGCCGTTTGCTTCGGAAGGGGAGGGTAGCTATGGACAAAATCCACTTCGCGGCAGTTGATAGGTTTCATATTTGTCCCGTCATTCACAGGGCTTACATATTTGTCCCATGACTCGTAGGGCTTTATATATATATATATATATTGATAGGCTTTCATACATCCTTTTGGTGCAGGATTTGCTCCAATTGCTGTGGGAAACCAGGACACGAAACTGCGTGCGGCTCCCAGCCGCCCTTCTTTGCGGCCTGGCACGGCCCCTGAAAGAGGAAATTGCTTAGGGATCAATCTGGAGAATGGTTGATGGACCTACTGTGGATGGACGAAATCCGTTTCGCACCACTTGGAAGCCATGGGGAACCATTGTTTGTTGGTATTTACAGGAGAATCAAATCATTCCAGGGCTTCTGAACGGTGGTGCGAAATGGATTTCGCAACCATCCACAGGAAATCCCCAACTGATGTCCACCAGGGTCCCCACAAGCCAAGTGGACGCGGATCCATCCACGAGCCCCAGCGCCCTAGCGCCGCGCGGTTCCGGTCGTTTGAGGCCTGGGATTCGCGGAGGACATCAAGGGCCGCCGGAGGCGACGCAGCCCTGGGGGGGTCGCGTCGGGGAGTTGCAGGAATCGAAGGAGCTCACCCGGGTTTGGAGACAAACGGGGGGGTCCAGCTAAAAAAAATCTGGGTGTAGAACAGGAGTGGTTTTATCCTTTGGATGAAAACCACCTCAAGAAAAGACACACCCGTTCCTGTGTGGCAGATTGTCTCCCTTCCATTGCGTGGAGCAGAAATAATTCGATGCTTGCTCTTCTTGAACATGCGCAAGATCTGTTCGACAATCGAATGCTTCTGCTTTGTATAACCGCAAAATCGTTGCTGCCCAACGATCATGCCTATACCCAATCTAGTGCTGCCCATTGGATACTTGATGCTTGTGCTGCCCAACGAAAGCAATATGCGCTGCTTGACCATTTCCTGCAAACGCGGACGCAGGGGCCATCCTAAACCGAGTATCCAGCCGGGCGCAAACATTGCCACGAACAGACCCGGCAAGTCGTCACCTATGAGCGCTAAACATGGGCGCGTGCGGGGGTGCGTGCGGAAATTTGCCGGAAGAGTAGATCCTGCAAGCACCTGCTGCTTTCTTTCATCCGCTTTACCCCGAAAACCATCAACAGTGACTGAAAAAAGCCGCAACTTGGCTAACTGGGGCCTGTCAACCGGAGAAGGGCTCTCCGGAGCATGGGCTCGCTGCGGGTCCCATGAGCTGTGGCCCGGGGGTTTGGAGGGGACTTGGGGGTCTCTGAGGTGGCAGAGTCGGACGGACTCCACTGGTCGTTTTGGGGTTGCCCTTTTTGAGACACACCTTGGGCCATGTGGGTCTGTCTTTGTTCAGGGTTCCCCCCTTTCGCGGTTTCCAAGGGCAAACAGACAGGAAAGAGCCGCTATTCTTGGGGCGTTCCCCCTTTTTTTGAGACGACCCCGTGTGTGAATCTGTGGGTGTGCCCCCTTTGTTTCAAGGCCATCCCCTTGACTGGTGGTCACCAGTTGCCCCTGTTTGGAGTCGGCCGCGTCGTGAGCCAGGCCTTGGTTGGCTCACCCGCCGCTGCCTGGGCCCCGCAGGAAAAAAACAAAAGCGGGGTCGCCGCTTGCCACCGGCCTTTCTGTTTGTGGAGAACCGTTGTTTGGTTGGGTTTGCCGGATTTTTATCCAAGAAACCATTGAGTTGTTTTTTTCTTCTTCTTTTGGGAACCTCGTTTTTGGTTGGCTTTAAAGGGAGACCGAAAGGAACATAGCCATTTTCAAGGGTTGCGTAATCTGGAGACACACAACTTAGGAGGGACGATAAGCAGGGAAGGGTCAGAAGCAGGGAAGGGGTGGGAAAGTAACGAAAGTATGACGGCCGTCTAATTTAGACCAACACATGCAATTGCAACGAGCAAAGCCCCCATGTTTCCACAGCGCAGTTGATCAACACCAGCAGCATTTTGCGCTGCACTGTTCTCCGCTCTGCAACTTCAATGTGAGTCATTGATTCCTGTGGCATCTCATAGTCCATTTTCATGTGGGGAAGTAAAGCAACGACGCATTTGTTTTGCTGACTCTGATCTAGTTGTTCGATCGATTTCGAGACTTGATTTCTTTTCCCGCAGACGGTGGTCAAGCAGAAAGTTGATTCTCATTCAAGGTTCGACTTGGAGCTGGCCCTCTTTTGAACACCTCCTTTGGACTTTCGGGCAAACTCATGGGTGGCAACTCACTTTTTCTAGACGACTCCATTGCTTCATTTCCGGGGCTCAAATGCGGATCATTTGGGACGGCCACGGCCAGTGCGAGCCCGCAAGATGACAGGTGGAATGTCAAGCTCATGCGATGACCGTGGGTAGCAGAATTAAGAGAACGTAGATGGCACGTGTGAAAACTGGGTAAAGGGCACGACTCTAAACCAAGGATACTTTTCATGAATGGAGTGTCCAGCCAGAAAAAATCCTCAAGTTCGCCGGCCATTGATGGAATTTCCCGGGTTTGGCCTGGCGCATTGTCCCATTTGGCTGTGGGTCAAAACCAATGGGATCCCATTTTGGGGTAGGTGAAGTCACCACCCATTTTGGATTGCGATGTTCACTGGGGGTACGATCTGGCTTTTGACCTATGTTCATTTACTTAGGATACATTCTACATTTCTTATGTTGTCCAAACTTGTTTTGGAAAAACTGGGATGTCATAGTGCCAAGTGCTTGTGAACTTGGTTGTACGACTGCCTCGGGGCCATTTTGGCTCAAGTCCCTGACTTGATCCTTGGTTCGATCTCGGATCTTTTCATTTGAATCTTGTGAAGCGCTGTATCCGCCTCAGGGGACTTTTGGATTCTTTCAGGGACTGTGGGTACTGCCTTGGAGAAGAATGGAAAAGGCGGAGGTCTTTCAGGAGCTTGAGGACAAGCTGGGTGGGGACGCAGGGACGGGTCTCCTCGACCTCTTCACCCAGAACCATATTTGGTGGCCTGCAGTGGTCCGCTGGCACGGCCTTGAGGAGGACCCGATCAACGCCCTGACGGCTGCCCAGAAATGGCACACCCTCCGCAAGGAGGAACGGGTGCTGATCCGCTCCAACTGGGATGGGGCGGACGTGCTGGCACGGGCGGGCCCGGATGCGGCCTTGATCTCATCTCGAGGGGGAAGACTCCTAAGATGCCGGCGCAGATTCCGGCCCTCTGCTGGATCCCAGCGTTGACGGAGAAAGACCTTCAGGACACGGATATGCGTGTCACGCAAGCGCACGACGCTAAGAAGGGGCCCTACCGCATGGTGGAGCCGGACCACTTCCCGAACAAGCTTTTTGACCGTGAGACTGCGGGCATCCTCAGATGCCTACCAATAACGGTGCTCACAAAGTTCAGCCAGGCCTGGGAGGGCGACGGTGTGAAGCCGTCAAGCGAGAAGATGGGCGCAACAGGCACCCTACATCTGCGGCACACCAAGATGTGGAGCTCGCTTTGAGAACGATCGCCGGGCACGGCGCCTGCTCTGCGCTGCCAGTTCTGGCCAAGAACGCGACCCTACAGTCCCCCAGAGCCATCTGGCAAGGGCTGGCAGATGGTGAAAAACGTTTGGGAACAACAGTCGAAGAACTTTCGGGATGAGTTCAAGTTCCAGTATGGAGTCAAGCAGTCCCAATCCCTGGCGGTGCAGTTCACAGGAGCTGGAGGGCCTCCCGCTCGGATTGGGGCAACCTCGACTTCAGTTGGACTGTTTGACTTCATACTGGAACTTGAACTCATCCTGAAAGT